AGGTTTGAGAGACAGAGAAAGAGCTCATCTGTTCACCATTAAAAGCAAATTTTCTTCTGCAAAATGCTCCAATTAGTGTCCCATCCCCCAATGGGCCAGGACTGGAGCTCTTTCTCCTGACAGACATTTAAAGATATAATTAAGTAAGAGAAAACAGATGTTGGAGTACACATCAGTAACTGATTTTTGTGTGTGTGTTTTTAAAATACTATTTAAATATTGCTTTGATGTGGATGTTGATGACAAAGAGTTCCAAGTCTGTGGGATGGTAAAGGACAATTGATGAATGCATGGCTTGAGCTATAGCAGCCTAGTAAATAGCTACTCTGGGAACCGAACACAGAAGACCCACCTCCTGTTTTCCTTGCCTGCTATGCCTCTTTCTCCCAGTCATCATGCTGCTTCTTTTTGTTTTCCTGTTGTGGAGCCATTCCTGCCTGGACCAGGAGCAGGTAGGTACAAATCCACAGGTGCAGCCTTGACTAACCAAAGTCTTCCTTTTCTACCTTGTTATTTCTGGGTGCTTCCAGATGGGAGTTTATTGTGGAATTGTGGACTGCTCATGCAAGCAATTTTTTGTAGCATCCACGTAACATAATTTTTATCAAAATGTCAGACCATACTTCTTCTCCTTTTACATTTAATCTGGATTTCCCCCTACAGCAGAATACTAAATAAGTAAAAACAACACATTATACACCCATAGTCACCACCAGGGTGCGGCCTCTTTAGTGCATTTATTTAATTATTTGTGTGTGGTTTGTCATTTCTGAGGTGACATTTTGGTGGATGACCTCTATTATCACAACCTATCTCAGTTTGCTCCACATCTGAGCGCAACCTATCCATTTTATTTCTGGCAGTGCCACAATACTAAACTAAAACCACCTATTTCCACAAATTGCTGTATGCTGAAGGCACATCCAGATTTCAACAACCTGGTTCAGAGGACCTGTTCTCTAAGATCTCCACATGATAATTGTGGGAAATTACCTCACAAATTGTTGCAGTTCAAACAAAAGTATTTTTTAATAATAATAATAATAATAATAATAATAATAATAATAATAATACTTTTGACATGATTTCAGTATTTCATAGCTGCTGTGGTGTTGCTTTTTTGTAGGGGATGCTGTTAACAATGATGCTCACTCCGGCCAAATGAAGCAACAGATTGATATAGCTAAATGTCAGTGTTGTGCCAGACCTCGATATTAAATGTTTTCTTTAAAACCAAATGCAAGGTGGTGATTGGGTCACCTTCCTGGTAAATCACACACTGAACTATAATTCTTTGAAAAGACAGAAATGTGATTCTACAGTTGCCTACACTTGTGGAGATTTTTCCTTTTTTTTTAAGTCAGACTTTCTAGAGTCTACAAAAGACACAGAATAAATGTAGGGAAAACATAGTGAGTCAATGATTTGATAACAACACCATGTGTTTACCCTTGAAAATGTGTGTGAACAAGGAATGGTAATTCCAGATCTCCCCTGGTAACACTGTTAATTTGCTTTTGCATTCTATAATATTGCAAGTTTCATTACCACCAGATGGCACTATTTCTTCCTAGTGAGAAACTACCATGTTAGTTTGCTTTTACAAAAACCTATTAAAAGGATTCACATAAGAATGTGGGAACAACAGCAAGAGGTATTGGCGGATCTTATACCCGAAGACACATCTGGCAACTAAGTCTGCTGAACTACACATCATGGAAATGATATATTTTCCTATTTGAACTTGTTTATACATTTCTGCTTGCCCGGAAACTTACAGACCGTCTTTCAAAATGCTTGGAAAGTATCTGTGTCATGTCCACAGAGGCAATGATGACAGGAAGCAATCAACTGAATTCTGGATGAACAGAGGCAGACAGCTCAGAATGATCTTTCGAACTCACTGGAGGTATTAATCATGGATATGTAATTCAGGCTGATGAGAGATGTCCCTTGCCTGAAGGAAATGCTTCCATACAAAACCTTTGCCAGGGCAGACTTCTCTTCCTTCACCAGCCTTTAAAGACAGGGTAGTGCCAATGCATTTTTGTATGTTATTTTCACTAATATGTGCATTTTGAAGCATTTATATGCAAACTTTACCTCAGCACATACATTTTTGCGCACATTACTAGACTGTAAAACTGCACTGCAAAATTCAGAGAAGTATGAATTTCAAAGGATAGGTGTGTTTTGCTTAACATACTGTTTAGAAAAGTGAGAATTAGGTAAATTTGTCTTTAAACGCAATTCAAATAGAATTTCTCCCCTATCCCTGGCTTAGGAAAAAGGAAACAGTAGTCAGCCAGAAAGCCCCTTATGGTTTGGGAAGGGAGGTCATGTGTTTTGTTATGTGTGGGGACATGATGGAATATAAGCACTGGAGATGGGGATGGAGCTTGTGATATTGACAGAACATAAATGTAGGCCTCATCCACACACTCCACATCTCAGAACTGGTCCCGTGTTTTTAGAGTAGTCTAAGGGAGGGCACTGTGTCTACTATGATAGAAAAGTTTGTTTTTGCTGGGGCAGGTTGGGTCCCCAAGTATTTTCTTTTTCTTTTCCCCATGCCAGAAAAGGGTTAATGTATAGCAGCCTCTGATTGGCTGAGGTTCCAGGAGGGGGAGTTGAAAAGGAAAGGATTTGGAGAGACAGTGAGTTTGGGAGGATAGGTAGGAAGAGAGGGAATGAGAGTTGGCTCTGGGTAGAAGCATCCACTCTGAGGAAAGTACCACAAGCTAGAGAAAGGAGTCTCTGAGCTTAGTGTGAAGGGCGGTGTATGGTGTCCTGTAAGAGTAATTAGGCCAGAATTAACTGGGAGGCTGAGACAGGAGAAGTAAAAGCTGTAAAGAGACAGTCTACTTAGGTCTCGTTCCAGTCAGGAGGTGAGAGATTCTTCTAGTAAGAGAAGACTCCCAAACCAGTGAAATCTTGGGCCTATTACTTGAAGTAGGATTGTCTAAGGGGTGTGTAACTGACAGTACCACCTTGTTAAGAACCCAGGTATTAAGTGTGAGATAACTGAGAAAACCTTGAAGTGAAATAACATTGTAAACTGAAGTATCCTAAATTTTATCCACTCATGTCATAAACTTCCTTGTTAAATAAAATTGTTATTGTTTATTTGAAGAAATCCTGCCTGAGACTCCTAATTATTAAGTTTTACCTCATGTCTGTTTGGTTTTCTTTTGTTTGCCCTAATTTCATCTCTTGAACCAATACATGATTTAAAATGCAGCCATCATTCAAAAGATGTACTTATCTGAATTTTGCAATGCATTTCTCCAGTTTAAAAATGCATATAAAAATATGTATATTACAGGAAAATGCACACAAAAATACATATATTCATGAAAATAATGTACAAAATGCCTTATATTAGGGACATTATTTGCAAAAATGCATATCTTTGGGAATGTTGTTTTAAAATGCATTTATTAGGGGAAATGTGTGCAAAAATGCACATGACTTTCCTTGTGGACTTTCAGTGTTTTCCCCTACAGACTAATGTGGAAAGTGGGCAAAGTGCACTTTAGACTAGAAAAATGAAAAGCGAAGATAAATCAAAATTGACAGATTTATCCATCACTACTTCTGAGTAAGCACCTATGTATATACAAATACTCCAAGTGGGAATAAAAAGGAAATAGGATGGATTCATTTCAAATTAAACCAGACTTTTATGACATCTGTTGAAAAGAAGTGAGATTGTATTTCACCCCATTTTGAACACAGGTGTACATGCAGGTGTGCATGCACACATGCGCGCGTACACACACACACTCTTACCAGTCATAGCAGTTACATTGCCAAAGTCACCACACAGCCAGAATGAGAGATAGCCACAAGAAAACAAGTGCTGCTTTCTTAGAAAGAGCGAGTAAATAACGTTGTTGCTAGAATATGAATTATTTGGCTCACTCAGTAGTTGTTAGATAACCAGCATGGTTCACTGCAGATCTGGGATGAAAGCAACCACAACATATCTTTTCAATAAAAACCATGGATATTTCATGAAATGAGAAAAAAGGAAAGATTTTTAAATCATTGAAGCACATCAAATTAAACAGCATTTTCAGGTTGAAAATGACACAGTTCCCAACTCCCCATCTCCAACCTGTGCTTCACAAAAGAGACCTGCAAAAATATATCCGTGATGAATGAGGCAAGGCACAGACCAGTTATAATAGGATAAAATATGGATAAACAGTGGTAACTGGCTAATAGGAAGCCAATGACTCAGACAGCTGAATATCTCCCTGGGATCACTAGGTTTGAATCACTGGAAATATTCCAGGGCTGTACTTTGCCAAATGTGTTTACGTGAATGCAGAGATTAATGTGAAGAAAATGCTACAGGAACTAAAGAAAACCCTCCCAGGATACTGGATTAATGATGCTGACTCAGTCTCAAAATAGAATGAAATTAAGCAGCAGGCAGTGAAATATATTGGCTCAGTGCATAAGTCCCCTAGATGCATTCAGAAGCAAAATGCCTCATGTAGTAAGCTCAAACAATAGTTCTAGAAATTTATTTGAGAAAATGATAGATCAGTTGGGAGGGAGTATCTTACTTTCTCAAGACCTTAACTTACCAGCATAAACAGGCATATACCTAATTACTTACTTGAAAGAAGCCGGCCTCTGGCAGGAGAAAACTTTTGAACTGAATATGAGGCTCATTTCTTCCACCATGCTGCTATTGATATTGAGTTTCCCATCTTCCCTTCTATTTATGACACTCAGGCCAACCATAAAAAGAATTAAATCTGCTGCTTCCCAGAGTCCTACTTCATTGGGTCGTATTCAGGGCCAGATTTAGGTTTAATGAGGCCCTAAGCTATTGAAGGTAATGGGGCCCTTTATATGTCCAGCTGTCCTTTGTCAACAACAAATTGTTGCTGTTTTTTGTGTTGAATACATGCTATATGGTAATTTATGGACCTAATAGGTATCTAAAGCTATTTGCACATGCAGAATGTAGGCACACTATATCTAGAAATGAGCAAAGCAGTGATATTTTAGGGAGCAGGCTAGCAGGCCCGTTACTTACATAACAGGAGCCTACACAACACAAAACACTGTTGCTGTATGTAGGTTTTATTTCATTTGTTTTTTATCTTATATTTTGGAGGCCCCCAAGAGAGTGGGGCCCTAAGCTATAGCTTGTTTAGCTTATACGTAAATCTGGCACTGGTCGTATTGGTGCTGGAACAGGTTCTAAGGTGGGATCTTTTAATCCTACAGCTCTGTGCATGTTTTCTTGTAAGGAAGTCCCACTGTGTTCAGTGGAGCTTACTCTAAAATAAGTGTACATAGGGTTGTAGCCATAGTCAATTAGATCACCAATGCAAGTTCAATGTTTATCCAACTGCTTCTAAAGTACTTGCTTGAGCACAAAGGTCTCCAGGGAGGCTCTAACCATGTTCATCTAAACATAGTTAAAATCCCTCCTTAGATCAGGAATCTTAACTATGCAGAGTTACATATTGTGGGAAAGATTCTCCCCATTTCAAGAATCTCCCTGAGGATCTTCATATTCAACACATGAAAGTTTGGGAGAAGAGGGATATACGGTATGTGGTTTGGTATAACCTGTGTTCTATGTAAGCAAACAATGTGAAAATTACAGACTGAAACAAAATACAGCAGAACGATCACAGCAGAACGATATATACTATATAGTTTTGTCATGTATTATATTGTACTAAAATGAAGCAGGAAATGGTGTACCAAATACACAGACATCTAAGTTCTGAACAAGGATAGGTACATTGTTTCTTTTAAAGTCAAAGCAGATAACGTAGAATGAAACAATTCTAAAATGGATTCAATTGTATGAAAGAGAAACTAACAGGGGTCAGCAAACTTTTTCAGCAGGGGGTCGGTCCACTGTCCCTCAGACCTTGTGGGGACCTTGTGGGGGGCCGGACTATATTTTTTGGGGGGAAATGAACAAATTCCTATGCCCCACAAATAACCCAGAGATGCATTTTAAATAAAAGCACACCTTCTACTCATGTAAAAACACCAGGAAGGCCCCACAAATAACCCAGAGATGCATTTTAAATGAAAGGACACATTCTACCCATGTAAAAACACACTAATTCCTGGACCATCCGCGGGCCAGATTTATAAGGCGATTGGGCTGAATCCAGCCCCTGGGCCTTAGTTTGCCTACCCATGAACTAGAGCATACAGGAAAATTAAGTTGCAGATTGCGGGCCAGACTGCACCCGCTGATCTGTTAACTGTTAATAAACAAAACCCTCAAGCACTAACTGCCACTCTGTTAATTACATTCAAGAGATGGGAGTTACAAAGCTCTTTCAAAGTGATGGAGTTTAGTTGGAAAGGATGGACTTTCCAACTTTTTAAAAAACCTTTTCACTTTCAGCAAGGCAATAACTGCTGTGGTTTTTGTGGGATATGGGGTAGCAATATCTCCAGAATGGAAATTTTCTCAAAGAGGAAAGAATGAACTTTAGTGAGATTATATTAGTTTTAAAGCACTGAACACCCAAGTCCTGAGAGAGAAAGACAGCAAACGCAGAAACACATACCGTAAATTTATTTCATATAGATCTGTAATAAGATTCTGTATATTAAGGGGTAGTTAATATTATTGTATTATTGTGATTGGCAGTTTCTACAGCCATTTCTCCTTATTGTGGTGCCCATGTGAATCTTCTGGATTACACTGGTACCTTGGGTTACATACGCTTCAGGTTACATATGCTTCAGGTTACAGACTCCGCTAACCCAGAAATATTCCCTCGGGTTAAGAACTTTGCTTCAGGATTAGAACAGAAATCGTGCTCTGGCGGCGCGGCAGCAGCAGGAGGCCCCATTAGCCAAAGTGGTGCTTCAGGTTAAGAACAGTTTCAGGTTGAGTACAGACCTCCAGAACGAATTAAGTACTTAACCTGAGGTACCACTGTACACAGAAAATGTCTATGCCAACAACATAGATATTTTTGGAAGATATCTAATACTAGATTAAGAAAAGCTCCATGTGATCAGCTGGAGTGATAAGAGCCACCATAGGGGCCTCTCCCACCGATGGGACAACATGTAGACTGGCTCTGATTAGTCCCAAGAGGACAGTGGCATGGCTTAACACTGTTTACTGTACCATTTCCTCTGTTTCTAGTGTTCGGGCTGTGGGTACTGTTGCTTATGTCATCAAAAGTGCACACATACCCCACATGGAAGCAGTGGCGGAGCTACATGCTCTGGCACTGGGAGGTGGAGAGCAGGTGGGGGCAGGGCTGGCACGTATCCTGGGGGCGTGGCATACCGCCCGTGTCCTGGGGGCGTGGCGTGCTTCCTGAGGGTGTGGTGCGCCACCCTCAGGGGTGTGGCGCCCAGCGTGGGTGGGAGGCAGCTGCGATGGCCCCCTACCGGGATCATGCTGCTGGGGGCAGTGTGCTCCCCCTGCACTCCTCTTCCTCCGCCAGTGCACGCAAGAGGGAGGTATTATCATGCTTGGGGAGCCCACAATGTTTACAGAAGGACACCTAAAAATTAATTAAATTTCTATACAGCCATTCATCCGAGGATCACAGGGCAACTTACCATATAAAAGCACTAAGATGCATAACATAGTAATAAACTAAAACAATACCTCCCCCAATTAAAAAGTCATAGATTGTTTAAGTAGCCAAATCCCAGGGAGAAGGAGTGGCTGGCTACAGGGGTGCCAACTTGAATAAAATATGGGGGGAGGCAAGTTGATCACATGACACAGCACACATACACCATTTGAATGGAAATGCCCATCAACTTTGGGGGGACTCGGTCCCCTCAAATATTTTATTGGGGGGGGTCGAAGGGACCTTGGCCTCAAGGATTTGGCTCTTATGGCTGGCTGGAACAATGAAAAGCAGCACATCACAATGCAGCATATTGCTTCAGATGCCACTTGTTCTTTCTACTGTTTTGTTAAAAACGGAGAAGCAGAGTAACTATCCCACTTACTCCTTTTATCAACCTTATGCAACAAAGCTGAAAGTATACATATGGCTTTAAATGGCTTACTGCCAATCCACTGGTGTTATCATTGACACTAGCAAATATTACTCACTTTAGTAAGGCAGCATGGCTTGTAATGTTAATCTTTTGATGGCTGTTTAATTAACAAAGGCCAACTGGATGAGTATGTTGGAGGAAACACCATGCCCCCATCAAATGTTGAAGGAGACAAGACTTCCGGGTCAGCGCCATCGGTGAATGGCAGAGTTCCTCCGATCGGAGGAACGGGCTCCATAGAAATTGGGTCTTCCCGCCACGGCAAAGGTGGGGACCCACTAGAAATCCCAGGCGGAGGAAGCCTGGGAACGTGGGGTTCGGCAGGGCACCAGGAGCGCCCCCCCTACTCACCAGGAACCCCATTTTGGGGCGCCGGAGCGAAGTGGGGTGAGCAGCGCGGTGCTGCGAACTGATTGCTATTTTTACGGAGTGAAGCTGCACAGCCATTGCCGGAGAGCGCTGACTTTTTCCTGTGGACAATTGGATTTAAAACAAGTACCCGTGAGTAGAAACGGAAAATTGGATCAAGAAATATCTTAATTTGGCATCGAAGTGGGAAGGTTCAAAACAGGAAGTCCGCCTTCCGCTTTCTGTATATAGACTAAAGCAAAAACTTTGTAAGCTAAAGCCTGGAAAGCCGTTAAAAAAGTCTAAATTTCCTTCATTTATAATTACTGAAACCCCCTTGGAAGTAGGAGAAAAGGGGGGAGAACTTTGTTTAACCCCTGCAGGAGAGGGAGTGAAGAAGGATAAGTTTCCACCATCTCTAACCTGGAAACGGGGTGTCAGAGACAGAAATAGTTGGAGAGGTTCATTGACTGTGAATGGAATACTTTGACAGATAGCTAAAGAAGAGAAATAAACTGATTCCAATGTTGCCTTTTGCATTCTAAAGAAACAAAATATCTGAAAAATATCTGAAAAATGAAAGTAATTTTCCTTTGTTGGACTTGCCTTAAAAAAATGGATACAAATAGAAATTGTCTCCCCTAGAGGGAGCTTGTTAAATTGTTGCTGCAGTCTACGTGAGGACTCAACAGCTGTGAGATTAAGATCGTGGGATTAGTCTTTTCTGACCTTGACTAAAGATGAGCTGGAAGGAAGACTGGGTGCTTGCTTTATGCAAGACAAGTGCCTTGCTGGAACAGATGCACGAGAAGATGGATTTGATGAATGAGAAAATGGACTTGATGACTGTTGTGGTTAACAACTGTGGACAAACAGGGAACATTGATACAGAAACCATTCAGGGACCAACTCATGAACCTGTACTGACTGGGCAAGTGCAGAAAATAATGGAGGAGGATGCGGTTGCACCTCAAATAATACAAATGGAGAAACCCGAGGCCCTACAGGAGCATAAGCCGCTGCCATTGAAGATGGAAGTTGGAGTGGGCCAGGGGGAGTCTGGAGCTGAGGAGGTTCCTAATTTTGGAGAGACCTTGAAATATGTTTTTAAATACTTTTTGGATTACACTGATGACTGTGGGGAGTGGGACTGTGGGGAATGGGCGGGTTTGATGAAGGGAGATGGAGACAATTTTGGGTTGGAACCCCCCAGAGACCTACTCCTCAATGAGAAAGGAAAGAAATTAAGAAAGAGACCAACAAATGACAAGGAAAAGGGCAAGTATAAACAAGAAGAAGAAGATCTGCAGAAGGGACATGGAAGAGACTTAAGGGCCTCGGACATAAGACTTCCAGGTTGATGGACTAGATGGAATGGGCAGTAAGGACTGACACGACCCGAGACCAGGAAGAAGAGACGTTGGATGAAGACTGGAAGAAAATCTATAAAGAAAATTTTTATTTGGGGAATTAGCCTAAAATAAATGAATATTAGGGAAAATGTTGGAATGAAACTATATGACTCTAGCAGAAATGATATCAGGAGTAATGTATATTTGAGCATTAAGATTCAAGCTTTAAGGTATTTTATGGTAAGATAAGGTTAAATAAATCAAGGTAATTTAAATAACAGAATATGGGGAAAGATGGAAAGGATTTGTTGAGTTAACTATTAGGTTAAAATGTTAAGATAAATTATTTAACAAAAATTGAGAAAGATGGAAAGAATTTGCTGAAATAACTAATTAAACTAGAATACAAAAAGGGAGGTGTGAGGAGGTCAATGAAACAAGCAAATGGAAGTTAAAGATATGTAATTTGGGATTTGTGTTTTTTTCCCTTTTTTTGTTTTTTTTGTTGCATTGCTGTATTGGTTTTTATGCTTTGTGTTTTTTGGGGATTTGTGTTTTTTTTTCCTTTTTTGTTTTTTTTGTTGTTGCATTGCTGTATTGGTTTTTATGTTTTGTGTTTTTTTTCTTCTTTTTTATGTATTGTAGTGTTGTTTTTCTATTTTTTCTTTTTCTTTCTATTATTCTGAAACTATTAATAAATATTATTTAAAAAACAACAACAACAACAAATGTTGAAGGAGACAAGACCAAACATTACCAACATACATCCAAACTGTGTATAATTCAGCAGAAGCACTTCATTTTAATGTAATCAAAATTAGCTAAAGTTGCAGGGCATATTTTAATGGCCTACAAAAGCATATATAAACATACGCTCTAATCAAGATTTACTCTACAAACAGAAGAGAGCAGTGAGGCCTTTTTGAAACTGGAACATGAATCAACTGACAAAGGATGGAGCAGCAAAGTAGAAACAGAGTTTGCTGAGCTCGTTCCCACATTAAACAAATCCCTGATTTGTTGTGGTCAGTTGTTCTCAGTTACCCCTAGGTCTTCAGTGCATATATAGAGGTGGAACAGAAAACCTCAGTGGTCCCAAAGTAGACAAGCATGTTTTCTAAATAAATCCTAGTTTAATTTAAAATCACCCCTGCATTTTGTTTTCACCAAACTTTTAACAGGCTTCTTTAGCACAATCTTAATATAGCAAACGTTGGCCACAAACAAACAGAATAAATGATAAAACTAAGATGCAAACAGCAACAATAGGTCCATTTGTTACATTGGTTGATGCTCCTTTTAATATATAATACAAGTTATTAATCCTATCATCTACTGCCCTTTTAGAAAGGAACAATAAGGTGGCATCTGCTAGACTGTCCATTGTCCTGGATATGAGCATGGAAAAGGCAAAAGGTACCATAATCATTTGTGCCACAATGGAACTAAATTGGAATTGGACTTGCTTTTGTTATGGTGATTCTTCCTGCAAACACTCCCTTCTTTTATACCAAAGATCCTGATTCTTTCGAGGATGTCCATCTGGCTATTATACTCCTATGTCTTTGAAATTAGCTTGACTGCTCATTTGTCACTTTGAGGTGCAGTAGCTCAAAACATGTGTGGGACGGACAGGGCAGTGCAGGCAGATGGTACTTAAGAATAAACATGGACAGATGCATTAAATAGGCATCAGATTGCTGGGATAAAATAGTGTCTGGGAGATGATGAATTAGATTTGCCAATTATATTGTGCAAAAAGGCCAGTATCTTGAAGAGCTGCATAGCTTTTTAATACCCTCTTTGCAAAAGTCAAAACAAGTTAATTAGAAAAAGAGCAATCAATTATTTCAGAAAAGAATGTATATATTCCTGAAAACTATATATTTTCCCTTCAGGGATAGGCGTACTTTACAGAATACACTGCATGTGTATTGCACAGTCTTTCATATCAGCTCTTGCAGTTTATTTGCTTTGAATACAGTTTTAGATTTTGGCAATACATTAAAATGGAAGGAGCCCAACTTTGAGTTGTGAGAGAGAATACAAATACTATTAAAGGGCATTATTTCACTTACAGAGTTGTATATTTGTATTACTATGATATTATTGACACATCCTGCTGTATCTAGATTTTCTAAAGATGCTCAGTGCCAGTTCTACTAAAAGCCAATTGACATTCTGAGAAGCACAGATTTAATGGGATGAGAATCTGATTTCCTGGATCTCCCTAATAAAGAGACACCTTTAAAGAGAATTGAAATTTATGGCATATGATCTGCTTGCTGGAAAACACACAGAATCAATTATAAACAGCAATATAAGCAAGAGGCAAGTTGGATGAACTAGTGTGTACATTATGTTCTCAAGATCCTTTCTACAGATTAGTTTAAACCAGACATTCCCTCCCTTTTTTTAAAGAGTAAAGCGTTGTAAAAAAAAGTGTTACAGAACAGATGCAGAGTGGATTTTATTTTCCATGTTTAGCAACTGCATTATTTGCAATTACTTATGTAATATAACATTATCCTGAGACTGATTAATGTTCAGCTGAATGCTAAGGTCACAGCAGCTGATCCCAAAAAGAACATTTCCTTGATGAAAGGTCCAGGATTCTAAGTTTAAAAAACAAGAAGCAAAGTAGATTTTCCAGGATTTCATGGGGGGGGGGGGAATCTAATGAGAAAGGATTCAAATATTAAGGACAATTCAAGTAGATTACAGATATGCATAAGACCAGTTTAGCAAGTTGACAATGATCAATCATCATTAAGAGGGAAAGTCCTAGTTGGCTAGCTTCATAAAGATTTTGCTGGGATTGCCTTATGCCTGCCAATTTTTAGATCATTCTTTATGCCATTGGTCTCATGGCTTGGTTTATAAGAAAACCTCATGTTGCTCTTCTGAGTGCCACTGACCAAACTAGGTGACAGCACCCATCACCATACTAAAAAGACTATTCCAGAGAACAGGTAGGATATGTGATTGTTTTACTGGTGGTGACACAACCATCATTCTTTATGATTATCTGAGATGATCAATAAATGAACAGTAAAACTATTTTGCAAGAGACTGTTACGTTTATTTTCTTTTTTTATGTTTCTGCCAGCAGAAAGTGGAGAATATTTCCAATTCTCCAGCTTATAGCTAAGATGGATTTATCAAGTAACCAAAATAATAATAATATGTGAGATCCATTGTGCACCCTTTATTCATATTGGGTTATTGGGAGGAGTCTCATATAATTCAGTAGGATTTACATCTGGGCTGGGTGGCTGTACAACAATGCTGCTTGCACCTAGTCTGGAGTAAACCTCATGCAATTGGACTGCAAGGCTGTATTCCAGTGCTGACCTTATCTACCTCAGAGTAAGCCCCATGCAACTTATTGGGAGCTACTTCCAAGCAAAAGTGAGAAGGATCAGTTATTAAACTTACGGTCTGATGCTGCCCTCTTTTCAGGGACCTCATCACAGATTAAATGATCTCTGCTGTTTTGCTCACCCACTTCCATTTCTGTGAAAACAACATAAAATGGGCAAATGGGGGGAGGGATTTTTAATTTTATTGTGGATCCAGTTTTTGCAGAACAGCTGTATTAAAAATAAGAATAAAACAAACTGTCTGTTTCCTGGCCAAGACAGCATGAGGCGAGATAGCAAATGGCATCTCTCTCTCCACTCCTGCCTTTCCTTCCCAGCCTCTGCCACTTCCTGGTTATATCCTGAAGGGCCAAATTCATTATTTATTTTTAATATAGCAGATTTGTGCAAAGGAAACATTGCAAACAACTCTGTTTAAAAGCCTATATGTGCACCACGAATGCTCCTTCTGGGACAACTGGTGGAAAGAGGCATGCTGCATCCTTTGGACTGATGGGAACAAAATGAGGAGGTTGTGCTCAGGCAAGGGGCAAAGGGAAGCAGTGTGTAGTGACATAATGCAACCCTCCCAAAGCTCACCACATGCATAAAGAGCTGGCCATAGAAATGTGAAGGCATAATGTGCTTCAGTGCATCCATAGTCAAGCAACATGCAATTTTCTATTGGATTTCCCCACTTTTTTCAGATTATATGTGATCCACATTAAACTGTCATGTAGATGTTCCTGAAGTATCAGTGACTGAACACCTCCCCTCAAAGTGTCCCCCAACAGCAGGGCTGGCCCACCTATGAGGCAAGGTAAGGCGACCGCCTCAGGCGGCAAGATCCACATAGGCAGCAGATCTGGCCTCCAAGAAATGCATTACCCAATGCTGCCTCTACAGTGCATAGGAGCAAATAGGAGACACGGCTTAGGGGCTTAGGAAATGGCAGGGGCTGTCCTCTGGAGTCTCCTGGTCTCTGCACCCACCTGGCGTGATTCCGAGCAGGCCCCTTCCCCACCCCCCATGACGGCCTTTGATTTCCAGTTCAACCATTGGGAAAGGTTGATTTGACACCACCCCCCTTGTTCCCAATGTTAATCCTTTTCTCCCCGTGCTATCAGTGTATATCTTTATTCCCCTCTTGTTCCTGATGTAGATCTTCACTCACCCCTGTGAGTGAACTGTGGAGGAGGCACAGTTTTGTGGTTTGCCTCAGGTGCCAAAATGTCTTGGGCTGGCCCTGCGCAACAGACATTGCAAACATTACTTGTATTTAAAAGCATAGCTACTCTCTTCACTTCCAAGTAGAGATATCCCGCTGAGGGGATATCAGTTCAGTTGTATTGTATCAAGGCACAATTCATGACTGGCCATGCAGAAAAACCCTTTTTAAAAAAAACCTTTCAACATCTGCCATTGTTAATATAATAATGGGATGAAATATCAGGCTGGAGTTGAATTTGCATGTTTCAAATCCAAGTGCAGCTCCTTTCTCTGGAACACACATGCTTACTTCTGCATTTTAAAACAACGCATTCATATATGAGGGTGTTTCATGCACGACATATACATTTTCATTTCTCAATATGGGTTTTTGATAAAGTGCTGCATACCAAAGGGATTTGAATAAATCAGAATGCCTAAAGTAGGTTTAACTGGATAAGACATGGCAAATAAGATCTGGTAGCACTCATACAATGAAAAGGAGTGCAATG